CGGCAATAGTCATGATGACTCGGGGACCAAATGCAGGAGAGTACGTTGCCTGTTGTGCATTGAGCAAGTGTGGTTATGTTGGTGAGTCACCGGCACCCCTACTAGGCTGGACAGCCGTGACCTATTCAAGATTACCTGACAAATTTGTTCATTTAGTTTTCATTGAGAAATTGCATAGTTCGATCGGGTTACCCATCAAGAGTTATTCAAGACGAAGTGAGCTACACCTCTGTCAAGATGCGGCAACCATCAGTAGCACCATTGAGCTAACGCGCTTCATAACACAGGTCCTAACGAAGCCAGACCACAAGAAATTGTGTTTGTTGATGGGAATGGTACGTATATGAGCAAGCTAGGACTCGGTGTGCGGTACTAAACAAGTTGATACTTATTTCAAATTGTAGACATCGAACTGGCGGAAGTTATCGAAAGGCAACAGCTTCGAAGACATGACACTCACACAACGTTCGAGAGGCTTATGAAACTAGACTCCTTCACCCGACCTGGTCTCACGAAAGACGAATTTCATTGTTTCCTCACAAGGTGCAATTGTTGCGAGCTCATCATGACGAGGCGCATGTTTGAGCGCCATGACTGTATAGGACAGGAGAAGAAAGGAGATATGGAGATCATTGATCTGACTACAGATGATGTTTAGTTCTGCTACATTCTTTAACATGTGCGCACCTGATAAATAGTCATGGCACCAAGTCTTGTACTATCGGTTGTCGCAATTCTCAATCACAAAGGTAGCACATACTCATAAACAATTTGCCGTTCCGCAGTGAATAATGACATATATACATTATATATATCAAAAAACTGAGTACTTCAAGAAGGGGTAGGAAAGGCTAAGGTACAAAATGGACAACAAGTGTACAGCATGTCAATGTGAAAAAATTATGGTACACACCCTGACCAGCGACCGATGGGACACCGTCCTGTCAAGAAGATGCATCTATGTCCGAATCAGGCACCACACTCGATACATCACTATCCGCATCATCAAATATCATGCCTGCAGGTGCGCGGCCAGACATGCGCAATGCACCTCGGGAGATACCAACCCCAGAGTCAGCTTTGCGAAGTTTGTGACTCATCCGTTGTTCCATATGGTCGTAGAGTTCTTTTTCAATCATGACACGTTTCAGACGTCTCCGGATAAGTCGACACTCTGCCCGACGCTCTAAGCGTTGAGCGCTTATGAGAGCAATGGTGAGATCACTGTCGTGATGTGTCTCCCAGTATGGGGGAAGGCATAAGGATTCCATCTAGTTGATTGTCACTGGGGATTAATACTAGTATCTAACAATGACACACACAGTTTGCGATTCTTGCACGGCTTCGTGGGAGATAGGTAGAGAGGGGTATGTCTCTTGAGGACATGATCGTGACACGTTGCTGCGCCAAGCAGCACAATTCAAGACGTTGGATGTTCGGGAATTACCCACAAGATTCGGCAAAAGAGTATGTGAATTGATTTGACGGTCAGGCTGAGCGGGGGTGCCTGGTGCAAGAGTATGCTGCCCGAGTGTGGAGGACATATTGTCACTGAAAATTGGAAGTTCTTGTGTCTTTGTTATACTGCTCAAGTCTCTAGTAAAATCGATTGAAGTACTTAAGTAAAATTTACGGGTTATTCCGACAGCGGCTCACACAGGCTCACACACGTTGCAATACGGACCTACGGTGGTACACCTATCAGATTGCACTGTATGCCTGTTGTCCACGTCGTCTGTTGTAGAATTACTGGTCATACGGGGGTCTTTAATCCAATCATAAGCGAACTGCCAATTCATGAAAATTTGCGACCAGTATTCGTATGCGTACATTTAGATTCACAATTTGAACTACAAATCCAACTTAAGATTCATCTATTCATATTTTGTACAGTACGACACTGGATCTCGAGCTACAAATATAAATCGGTAATCCAGGCATCGATTATGTAATATTTTTTTTCATCTATCAAGAGAGTTCGTCTAGGTCTATGGATTCTTAGCCGCTGTATTCAAATTTAAAGCGCTAAGCCGCTGGCCAATGCCGGAGTTTGCTTTAAGGAGATGGCGAACATTATATGTCACTACTCTATAGAACATTTGAGGTAATGGAACGGCGATAGATAGTCTCCACTGTCCAGGAGCTGACAAGTATTCGTATTTGTACACCGATCTCGAGCCAGTAATCCAAATCAGTAATCACTCCCAGCACCTGGTCCACGACTTCGTCAAAAAAAACGAACGGGGTCAGCCATGTATTCAATTTGGTGAGCGCTTATCAAGGAGTCCTGGCTCCTGGATCATACACGTGTCTGATTCACGGACCTATCCTTTGACGCGAGTACTGACTTTAAGAAAGCTGGCTGAAAATGCAGTCCAACAGCGCAATTCGCCATCTGAGTGACTTATCATGTCCTCCGAGTCTCGCCTTAAAGTTGGCTACATCTACACACCCCCTTCAAGTTCAAACAATTATATCTCGGATATCACGGAATGGGTTGTCCATCCAGTAAGTTCCTATTTTCTATGATATTATCCGACTCACGCTATTCCAGCAATTTGACTTCGAAGATGTCAAAAAATCATTTTTCAAAGTGGCCTATATACGGGAGGATATTACACAGACTTCGGGCGTGGAGACTGGAGTCTTCCGTCCAACATATGTGGTATTTTATTCATATCCCAGTCTATTCGAAAATTCCTATTAATGTCCTTCACAGAGTACTGATGAGCTTGCGCTGTCGGTAAGTATTTCCGTCAAGGGTGATTAGGGTGTTAATTCACTTGTGTTTTTCCCTGGTAGCCAACCGGATTTGTCGTCCCGGATGGGTGGAAAAAGGTCTGTATGTATTCGGATGAAGAAAATGTCCCGCTACCAGCATTACAGGTACGTTTAATATTGCAACAAATGCAACGATTCACTTTTTTCGATAGAAGGTTGCCAAACCGGATGACGCAACAATCCCCTTGACTTTCAGCGCGGATTTCGGTGACGACGAATTCATGTCGGCCATCAGTTCGCTGAGTGAAGGGATATGGATGGACAACGATACATCAGCATTTGAAGCGCCCTCCCCTGCCCCTCCTACTAGTATGGGCTTTGGGCTCCCACTAGCTCCGGAATCAACACCATCGTCCCAACCCCCTGCAGTTGCACCACCGACATATGGTGGGCCCGCACTTTTGCTCACCTCCCTAATTCCACAACCGATGTTCATAACGACGCCGAACATCGTTGAGGGGCACTATATCTTATGTGACCCCCAACAGTTCCGTAGGGGCATTAACTACACCCAAGACTACATCGAGAGGCACTTCGTCGCGGCGTGGGTGTGCCTCCAAGATGGTAGAACTTGGGGCAAACATTTCGTGCACATGTTCGGCTTGGAGACAAGTACCGTTTACAAGGCACGATGTATTCGGGAGATTCAAACGTTGATTGCCATGTCGACGGGTTATGGTCAACCACCAGAGAAAGGTAGGCACGTTGAACATGAATAATGTTCACTATATCGAGTTGCTCACATTATATCAGGCCTCCAATGTAGTCAAACCGGCCAACGAAAAGACTTGAAACTCGTCGACAATGCTATCAAATTGGTAACAAGCGAGCGGACGGCATTCGTCAAGAGTTTGAAAGCCAGCGCAGCTGCCTACATCGAACATTCAGACAGGGCTTCCATCGGAGGTTACGATCTTCAAAGCCAGCCCCCCCATATGATTACAGCTTACATCAATGGCCTTACTGGGTTGACGTCCCACGAAAGTGTGGCCTCATCGATTAACTTCACCCGCGACGCACAAGGGGTATTATCATTTTCTTTCGAACATCATCTTCTGATGGAACTGACATTCAGTGTTTTCAGAAACCGTATCGTAGGTTGACGCTATTGATCATAATGGCGCAGCGGCTATTGCGAACGGTCCAGAACAGCGGTGAACGCACCTTGCTGGACCTGTTCCCTAATGACTACCGAGAAATTCCGACACAACTCATGTCGGTGATATGTGCAATGGTACGTGCTGTTGTCGACGACTTTGTATTTGACACTGACCCCTTTCTATAGTATGTATTGAAGTTCAAGCGTCGCTTTGTTATCAACCCTGGCACTTTACGCTCTGCGGACGTGCGTCACGAGGCCGTCCACCAATTACATCTCCTCACGATGGCCCGCCAGCGCACTGACAACGAAGGAGTTGAGTTGAATTACTGGATCACTACCCGCGACGGAGAAGGTGGCTGGCTAGCTGACCTGTGAGTAAATGTACTTTAACTCAATCTGTCTCATGTATGCATTGTAGCCGAAATGCGCTGGCGTTAGCAAACGGCCTACGAGGCCCGACTCGGAGGCATGATTGAATGTTTTCAGGCATCAATACAAAGAATACGTTACGATTTGATTTATCTTTGTACATACTGTATCACAAAGTCGCGGTGTAGAATTTTGTAGCTAGTGTTTGGTAGGGCGCTCTCAATGAACCTGAGCAAACAAGTAACTTTTCGTGCAACAATAAGCTTCTTTCAGCAGGATCGCGTGACACGACGGCCTCGTAGCAATCATTTGGAGATAATCCAGTATGGGACTCTTTGATGTACTCGCACGCGCACGCGCCCACTCGAAAAGTCCATCAGCTTTCTCAGCGAGGACTGCAAACTGTCCGTCCTGAAAATCCGACCCTTCTAACTCCTTGGATATGTAAGCTTTGATGTCACGCCTTGCGACTGCTGCTGAAATCTGGTACTTATCATCGCGCTCACGAATGCGGCTCCACAGTTCAAAAACCTGTCTGTTCGTTTAGTAAGTGTGTAATTGACAAGTCAATTGTTACCTCATCGACAATGTTTCCTAACGAGTTCCGAGCCGCTACTGCTTGAATTCCCAAAACAGATTCAAGTCACCCGCTCAAACCACACCAAATAACATAGCAGAAGGGTTAAAATCTGACTGTCCGAGTCATAGTGGAAAATACCAGTGATTTTCATCCTGCCTCACAACCATTATGCCTGCTATGGCAGACTTCGACGACCAGCAATCCTGCGGCCAACGTCGCAAACAGCCTGTTGATGCCCTTCAACTCGGCCCCAGGAAAAGGCCGTGGGTGACTTTAGATTTGCGGGAAGCCATTGCCGCTGACCTTTGCAATCGTGATACAGGAGTGCGGCCGATCCATTGGTACACTACGGACGTCATTTTGGGCGAACAGTGCACGCTCTTTGCAACTTCCAAGCCCTCCTCACAAATGGAATCTTACGTATGGGAGAATTGGCCGAGATTCCAGAGGAAAACTTCACCAATGAGTATTTTGCTTTTCTACAGAGTTACATGCAGCCTATTTAATCGCATGTACAGGGAACGGCGTGAGCATCGTGTTTTTCAAGAGCTCCTCAAGTCTGTGGCTGGCCTGGAAGAGCGCTTGATCCATAGCGGAGATGATGAGGTTGACGTAGTTGCAGAACTGGCAAGTACTATTCCGTTTTCCTACCTCTTTAAAGTAAATTGTGTACCTCACATTCCCCTCAGCTCACCAAGGGCGCCTCTGGAGCAAGAGGTGATGACACCAAAAGCCTCAAAGGCGGTGTGCTTGACTGGATTACCCCCAAGGGACAGAATCTGGTTCCTCCTCTCGCTCGCAATGTGAAAATTGACCGTGGTTTTCATCACGAACGGACAGGCGCGTTACTTTGTCCTGCTGGCCTGGACTGGTCTCACTCAGAGTGCGTGGTACCTTGTTTGTCTGTTTACTTGGCGTACATACTGACGCCATGCAGGACAAAAGCTAAGCTACGAAGTGGCGAGATTATGGTGACCGGAGACCAATGGCCGTTGTTCTTATATGCTGACTACCATTATGATCCTGAGGATCCGTGGAATGGTCTGTTTCGAAGTGCCCTGTTAGTTTGCGTGAGATATAAACTTTTGTGTCACTTCCGGGTTTCTTTGCGCTGAACTAGACCTACAGGCATATAAACATGTCTTTACGTCCCCTAGCTCTGTAGACAGAGAACCAAAGGCAACTCGTTCAGGTAATGCTCGTATTCACGGGATGACCCGAATTACTCTACCATCCATTGCATACATTGCAACTCAGGTGCGTCTACATTTCAAATCTGTTTATTTCTTCTAAGTGAACTTTCTTTCCAGGTCCGGTTCGCCCTCACCTCCTCACCTGTTTTCTCGCGTACCGACACAGTCACAGATTCCGAAAGGTTCTACAACTCCATTTTGGACGTCTTCGAAGATCCCGACGAGAAACAAGAGGTAGACGATCTTGCTGTGTGGTGGAACAGGTGATTGATTATTTTTTCCGCTCTGCTGATGCTCATATTTTCTAGGCAAATCTTTCCTTCATACTCAACTGCTCAACGTCCCCCGGTCAAGAACAGTGCGCTGGCGAGGATTCGAGAGAGGCGAGCCCAAATGAAAGAGGCTTCAGTCCCTGACAGTAGTAGTGGTGATGTGTAGCACAAAGTTGGCACAAGATAGTTTATTGCATGCGCTATACAATCCACGTTCAGTGATCCAAAACCTGTGTGAGAGAGTATCTTCTGACACCAAGGTTATACCCGGCCTTCAAACTAAGACTTAGTGATAAATTCTGCTCGTTTTTGTATGTTTTTACCCATAGTGGCAATTAAGGCGGTCATGATGCAATGATAGACTACATAGTCTGTGATGATACAGACTTACTAGCACATATCATGATGAGATTCTTTCTCCAAATTCACTAGCTATTACCTTGCTGGTCACGAGTCCAACAAGTGTGTTCGTAGCTAATACTTGCAAGAACATACCAATTGGTAACATTCTGACATCATTTGTACCTTTCATAAAAGCACGCTTCCATTACATACTTAGATGCTAGAGTTGACGGAGCATCAAAATTGCAAAAGTTAAATTCCTTGCCATGCAGATACTCCTGTGCAATCCCTGCCCTTATGGTGACCTTTGTACGCTCTGTCAAGGCAAGCATACATTATAATTGAAGGGACTACCGTCTATAAATGGTCACAATTGCAAGGCTAGGTGGACATTGGTAATCCACATCCCTTTGATCACACTCGATAATTAATCTCATCCTTACGTAGATGGTGACTCCTGCCTTGTCTATCCTCCCATGTAAGACTTCACAACACGACTTATCATTGTTACACTTATTGTGGCAATTTTGTTTATTATAATCTTATATATACTAATATAATTTCGTGGTTGGATGTCTGATGCAAGCGTGCTAGCCATCTAACATAAAGAACATCAATTTTGTGCTTTTTGATCATGCCTTCAACGTTGATCAATGCATCCATGTGGTAGATGCCCAGGACGCGGGCATACCAATATGGATGATTCGGCTTCGTTTCCCCAGA